GATCCGAGTGAACCAACCGCATTCAGATGTATGTCGTGTTACCTATGGACACACGGAACCCGTTGGTACTCATGGTACTGAGCGTTCGGTACTGCGATATCCACTGGTGCGCAACGTTCAGCGGTCGGTTCAAGGATGCGCGTATCATCGATACGCAGTTCTCATTGCAAACCTGGGGTCGATGGGGTAGAGGTGAGGGGAACGAAGAGAAACCCCGTGTCGTGCCAAAAGCCACCACCGGATCAGAGGGAGTTTGCGTTCGCATGTGACTGTGCTTTTCGTTCACGGCATTATTGAAATTTATGAACAGCTTGGCTGTGATTTCTATCAGAAGATGAAACCAACGGAACACTCCGATGACGGCCCAGAATAATACTTTGGGTGGGAGAAAGCTATCGAATTCAAACGAAAGGATGCATATGAGCGACCAATCAGCGTCATCAGCTGCAAACTACGCCTCCGAAAAGTACATGTTCCCAAACACATGTGCAGGTCGCCCCATGACATACACAAATTTAGACCATCGGAATCGGACGGGTACGCTGTACCACAGCATTCCCAGTCGTGAAGAACGACACTGTCTCTGTAGGAAGTGGTGGCGAGGTGGCTGGGAAGGGCGAGTGCGCAGTGGGCGATACTACGCTCGTCCCCGGCCTCATCCCCGATAATTGTGCGGTAGCGCCCATCACAGTGGACGGGAAGATGGAGGACGGATCCGACGGCCAGCGCGAGTGTGTACTCATCAGGGGCGTTTGTGGGATCGGCGCCACTCCATCGTTAGTATAGTGGCGTCGATATTGCATACGTTTGTAAAGAAAGTATCCTCCGATAAGGACGAGGAAGAGACCGGCGACCCCACCAACTGTGCCCCCAATGATGGCGCCAAGGTTCGTGCTACTTCCTGCACTGCTCGAGGTCGAGGTTGGGCTCGGGTTGGAGGGAAAGTAGTCGAGATGGCCTGCGGGAAAATGAGAGGGTTTGGAAGGAGGTGGAGAAAGGTAGACTTGCTTTGATTGGCATAGCTTTCTGCTTGTGTAATGTCGAACAACTCGGACGGCCAAGTCGTCGCTAAGTACAAGCATTAGGAACGAGGGAATAAGAAATGTAGTACCTCGTACGATCGATAGTAGCCCAGTAAGGTATTGAAGAAGCGTTATTCGCCAAGACGTAGCCCTGTGGGAACACTCTGGTTGGCAGGGTCAGCAAACGATCCAAGGCATGGAGGAGCACGGCGGATGCTCACTCGTCCTTGTAATTCGATGGACAGTTTAGAGAGAATGAGGGCCATCTGGAATACGATCATCAAAACGCCGACATAAGTCGCAGAGAGAGCACCCACGTCTTGAGATCGGTCGCGTACGCCGGGTTCTGGCAAACTGTACAAGCCATCATGAGATTGTAACAAGACCAGGAACTGTTGGCACCAAACTCGTCGACAAGCACTGATACTCGAACTCAAGTGGGTCATACCAGTAACAAGGTGTGGTCGTCGTGCCATTTGGCGAATCATACGAGTACCCAGAAGGTAAAGCAGGCTGTGTCCAAGCTGTCCAGTTTTATGCAACAGTTTAAGAGTCTCCAAAAGATACCGGAAACGGAAGGACTTACTATCCCCAACGCAAGCTGCGATCACGTACGCGACTGCCAAACAAGGGGTTTGATGTTCTGTGTTATTCATCCATGCATAGTCGGGTTCAAGGCACGTCGCATTCGAGACGATGTTGAAAACCTGCGAGGAAATACCCCAGACTCGAGGAAGCGAGAAGATTATGGTTATGAGGAGACAGAGGACAATAGAGCTCATGCCTGCTCTGATAAGTTGCACGAATCAAATAGTTCGTCGTTCAAATACTGGGACCTTCCCAGGGTGGTTGTCAAAGTGCGTGTCTGAATGGCTGCGGGAGCAGGCTTAACAGCTGCGCGGACATGCCCGGGTCAGGTGTGGATATCAGAGAGATCCGATACACATGGGGACAGATAACACTGCATCAAGGGTCAAATAAGTGAATGAGGGTGCGACTTCCAACTTGGGGAGCCCCAAGTGGCGTGCCCTATAACACGATCGGATTACGACACTCATTCTCCCCCTCGCGAGATGATTAACCCCGCAAATGCCAATCGGATGGAATCATTGGCTTAACAATCGTGTCGCTGGATTCCGATCAAGTCCAAAGGGTAGAATCCACCAAGTCGTTTACATATACGCATCAGCTCACTACATCGGATCAAAATTCAAAACGGGTCACCATAGGCAATAACATGGATTCAACATCGAAAGATGTAAAAAATCAATAGCGGCACGTCAAATCTGCGTTCCATTCCTCCGATCCGACACCTTCAGCAACGACGAATAACCTGTACGGGTCATACTTGTCCTTGATGCTCTTGAGCGTCGCATAGTGCGAGCCAAAGAATGTCTCCTGCCAGTTGATCTCGAACAAGGACGCCTGTCGAGCGAAGCAAGTAGCAATTAGACATGCATGACCCCAGAAGGGATAGGACGCACTTCGTTAAAGTAGGCACCATCGTTGGGCGTGAGGTCGTACGTGGCCTTGATCCATCCTTTGAGCTGGGAAATTATCCCTTCGATGTCTACCGAGGACGTACCCTCGTCCCAACTGACCCCACACACGGTTTCTGTGACCGCTTTTCGCCAGGCAGGGTTCAACCCAGCAGAGTCTGGATTAATCTGGCTGACCTTGCCACCTGCGACCATGCTACAAGGATGATCATCGTTTCCGAATCGTTAGCCAGTCCAAGTAGAGGATGGGTGGAGATTCGGAACGTACTTGAAACTGGCGGTACAGTTGACGAGAATCTCGGCGAGTTCGGCGTACTTGGTCGCGACAGAGTCCCGCGAGAGAAGTCGGTTCGTGATCATGACATTTTGGCCGTTTTCGACGCCGCCACTGAAGATAAGCTGGTACAGCAGGTACCATGAAGGGGCATAGTATATCTTGTCCGTAGCAACGACACCGAATGGTGTGAGTGAAGCTGAAAAGTTGTGCCATGCTTGAGTGGAGGTCATCGCAGTTTCGTTCGTCATGTTGGGTCCGAAAATGAAGAAACTAATTTGTTGGGCAGATATAAACCCATAGCCTCCCCAACCGTCATCTGTAAACTGGGTTTGGAAGCGCAGCAAGCCTCCAACGAGTTCCACCGCCGCCGAGGTATTCGTGATGTTTGCTTGATACGTATAGAGCTGGGTTGGAACAGAGGGGTAGGTGCGGTAGGTGACAGAAGTGACGATCCCGTACGTGGATCCTCCACCTCCACGCAAAGCCCAAAAGAGATCCGAGCTCTGGTACCTGTTCACGGTCAAGAACTTTCCGCTGGAGAGAACGACGGACATTTCTAGAGCGTTGTCGACACCTTCAATCAGACGATTACTTAATTTAATGAACAAGATAATGCGCCAGGACCTTACCGAGGCCGTAGTTGGGCGACAGTGCAGAATGACCTCCGCCTGCTAACCATCCACCAGATGAACCGACGGAACCTCCGGCGGACGAACCACCGACCATTAAGCGTCCGTAATTATTGACGGCGGCATATGCCTCATGCCATTGGACTCCAGCGCCAAGCGTCACAGCTATTCGAAGCAAGTAGTAATCAGAAGAGTTCTAAAACGGACTTAAATGGGCCTACCCTCATATGTCTCGCTCGCTGGTGCTCCCTGAGGCACAAATGCGGAGTTGTAAGTAATATTTTTCATGTTGTGTCCACACCACAAACGAGCCACGCGCTGTACTACGCCCAAGATAATCATGGCTGTTCAAAGTTCGCGAATCACCCATCAGAATATGCCTGTCTCATATGGTTCATGGACATGACCTACCCAGTGTTCTTGACGACCAACTTCAAGTTATGCTGCACAGCAAAATTAACGGCAGCTTGTATGTCCTCCGCTGAGCGCGCGTCGACGCCGATCACTGGTACACTCCCTTGGTCACATGTGCCTGTGATGGAGGTGTTGCGATAACACGCATCGATAGTGCCATTCTGGAACGTGAACGTCTCGAAATTCGGGGCTTCCATGGATCCGGGAATGGATGCACGCCAGTTACCGTCCAACCAGTTCGCTTGGACTGCAGTGCAGTTTCCTGACGGGTGGGACAGTGGATAGCATGCTGAAGCACTGGGAAGTGGGTAGATGAGCAGCTGGGAAACTTGGGACTGGAGTTGCGAGAACGTGGAGGCGGAGGGCCAGCAGGATTCGCCATAGGTGCAAAGACACCCCGAACTGCCAGCCCAGACAGTCACCGGCCCGCCTATTGCGAGGACTGCGATTGCAGAAAACACGTTCATTCCTGGGCGGAAAGGGTATGGGGAACGTGGGTTTGTGATGTGTTCCTCTCAAAAAAAGGCGAATTATATAGCAGTGATGGCAGCCAAGGGTGAAGAGTTTCTAGATTTTCCTCGTTCATGCATTGCACTCGGGCTGTGCGTCGTTTAGTGTTCAATCTCCCTGAGTCACATGGACGTACACAGAAGGATGACGTTTGGTTTCTTGATCCGAGTTTCGCACTTGGACTAGTCGCTGGGAATTTGGGAAACACTGTGCGGTGCGCAACATGCGTATCAATGGCCCACTAGAAATGTACGTCGGTTACACTCTACAGGTAATTTTACACGAGTCTGGCTTACCGATGGTAGACAAGCGCGATGAGCGAGCCGAGTGGCAAGTTGGCACGAGAACACAGGACGGACTTCAGCCGGTTCTCAGCAGACTTTCCAACACTCCAGGAAAGGAGACGAGACTGGATGACCTTGGTCGAAAGATCAAGTTGTCCGCCAAGATGATGACAACACCAGCTGCGGCCCAGTTCCTGCAGTGAATCGGCTGACAAAGAAGAGGCCAGATGGCACAGACAGTCTACAATGAAATGGCCGCTAAAAGGACGGTCATGGGCAGCGTTGGTTGGCGGTGTTGAGTTGGCAAACCGAATTTCCTGGGTATGTACTGTCCATTCACATGGCGCAGCTCGTCGATTTTCAATGGCCGACTAGCTCAGTTGGTTAGAGCGTCGTGCTAATACTTAATTTCGAGATCGTTGCGCGTCCTGATGCACGACTATCTCGGAGCTGAGGTACGCGAAGGTCTTGGGTTCGATCCCCACGTTGGCCATTATTTTTCCTCATTACCGACCTTGACTTTGCATCCAGCTTCCTTCGCCACTACTAAGACCGAATCGGTTGTGGTTCCATGCAACGTGGTCTGGCCCGTGTGGAAGTCAACAAATTCGAGATGAATTGCATCTTGGTGGAGCTAGAATACTGTGAGACCGTCACTCTCAGCAATAACAATCCTCCCTGAGCACCTCTTGACCAGTTACGGTCAACCTTTGTGTCAAGGAAGGTCAAGCCGTGACGGGTATGGGATCTTAACGTTGCCTCGCTTACTCTCGCGAAGTTTGCATGGATAAACACAGGGTGTGAGCCCGTAAGTAAGTTGTGCGGGAGATTTTTGCGATTCCCGTTCAAGGCCCCATTTCATACCATGTTCCTGCCACATATGTTCTTGGGCTCTTTCCAGGTATGCGATGCTTTTGAGTGGGTCTTTATTCATTTAGCAAACTGACTCTAGGTCGGTGGCGGCGTCGTCGGCGATTGCTGGCGTGCAGAGGAATGTTGATCGGGTAGTCTGTCGATGCTCCAACAAAAATACAGAACAGTGACGAGATTTGTCCAGCCATCAAGACCTCTTCGGACCTACAGGCAATCACATCATCCTCGTGCAAGTGCACACATGCCTGTGAAGAAATGCTTCAACAATATCAAATGCATCACTGCAATATACAACATCACCAACATCAACGCCATGCGACGCACAGCAGCGACGAAAAAGCAAGACGTCAGAGAGAGAAGTAATCCATTCATGCAATGGAGGACCATCCCGAAGTAGCGCCTTTTCAAGCAACCGTATCGTGTGACTACGTCGGGCATCGTCTTGCGTAACACCCTCGAGAGCTCTCCCTTCATCGGGAGAATCAGTCAGTGAAGAGGAGAATCACAACCAAAACTGAAAAGAACCATCCACTCACGGCCCACGATAACATCACCGGAGATGTCAGTCATAAAGAACATCCCATGATATTCCGCCTGAATGATGGGGCTACAGACTTCACTGCCGAAGGCTCTAAGAGACGATTTTATGGGAGAAGCGAGGCATTGATGGACAGTTTCATCAAACTGCCCGCGAACGATCTGACCAATCGAGGCGCATGACCGGAAAATCGGTAACTTGGCCACCAGTTGATCAAACACGTAAAACCAAAATACTTAAACTTAGACATCTATGGCTGGGGACCAGACTAGAGTTCCGTTTTGGACTGTTCACCCACTACTTCCGTAGCGGGAATTATCGTGGCGGTATCAAACCGTGCGAGGCTGGGATATATACATACACAGCCTCTGGGTCTCTTAAGACTTCAATTGTGCATCGGATATAACCATCGCTGGTGACCGGTGACCGATAACGCCGACACTGATGACCAAGGCGGCCGATCCGACCGGCATCACAATGTTGCTTTAACTCGCATCACCAACACCTTGTCCTAGTGCCAGTGACAGCATCATCCCCCGTCTGCCAACTGACACGCGCAAGTCAAGCTGCGCTTCTGAATTGAATTGCGCATGACCTTTTATTGAACTTGTTGGCTGCTACAGCAGTTCAACACGGATCGGAGTGCATCGGTCTTTGTGACCATGTGTCGTGATGCGGTATGACATCTGGCCGGCCCGGTGATCTACTCTCAGTCATAGACCCACTACTTATAGACGGTAATGAGGATACACCGTGCTTGGTTCACAAGGAGTACTTCTTCCCGCTGAACGTGCTACTATGAGTACAACGGCAAATACTGCAGAAGAACTCGGTACCTCCCCGACCGCGACGCTCCATCATCATGACAATCACCCGCCAGACGCATCGCGCTATGTAGCGCAAGATACGTCCACACATCCAAATCCGAATGAAAAAGCAGATGTCGGAAAACATACCAACGTCCTTGTGGTCGATTGGGACGGTCCAGACGACCCTGAGAATCCAAAAAAGTAGGTTCCATAGCATACATTGCATATATTCGTTCTCATGCGTCTCTTTCAAAGCTGGAGTTTCAGACGAAAGTGGGCTGCGACTGCCATTATTTCAGGGTTCACGTTTATCTCCCCTGTTTCTTCTGCCATGGTCGCTCCGGCCACCGGTCAACTGGCCGCCGAGTTTGGAATTCATAGCAGTGCCATCATTGCATTCACAACGTCGATCTTTGTGCTTGCTTATGGCAAGTCAAATTTTGTTCTCTACGGACTCGTCTCTCACCTGGAATGGGTAGCTATCGGTCCATTATTCCTCGGCCCTTTGAGTGAAATTTTTGGGCGATCCCGCGTGCTCCAATTGGCAAACCTATGGTATCTTGGTGTGTAGCTATGATGTCCGAATGTGTCCTTTCGGGTCGGGCTCACTATCATCCAGTATGGAATCTTGTCTGTGGTTTTGCGCAGAACGAATCACAATTGCTTGGGTTCCGTTTTCTCGCTGGACTAGGCGGTAGCGCTCCACTCGCGGTATGCAATGCACGTAGAGTAGGGGAAATCATCATCCAATTTAACAGACCGAGTCTAGATCGGTGGTGGTGTCCTCGGTGATTGTTGGCATCCAGAAGAGCGTGGCAAGGCAATCGCTTTGTATTCTCTAGCACCGTTACTTGGTCCTGTGATTGGTCCCACCGCAGGGGCTTGGTAAGTTTCCACCCACCCTTGATCACGCCAGCCATCTGACGATGTCCGTAGGATTGCACAGCGCTCAACATGGAGATGGGTGGTGCGTCTGCTCCCCTTAACACTCTTGTCGGTTCAATGACCTGATTGTGGCTCCAGTTTTGGTCGACGAGCATAGTCGATGCGGCTATCCAGGTATTGGGCCTGTTCTTCCTCCAAGAAAGTTAGTTCAGGTGGTCGGTACCTCCGCGGTATAGTACTTACGGCGTTTTCTTAGCTTATGCGCCATTGCTCTTGGAGAGGAAAGCAAAGACAATACGCCTGTCAATGGACGTGGAGAGAACACCTCACCAGGAAGTACGGACAATATTTGACGGAAAACAAGATCACTCGTGAGTACGATGTGTTTGGGGGTTCGTACTGTGCAGATTGACTGTTTCTAGCTGGTCAGCGATCATGACTAAATCGCTGGTTCGGCCATTCACACTCTTCGCACAAGAACCCATCATCCAGTTGCTTGGTGTATACATGGCATACCTCTACGGGTTGCTATACCGTGAGTGGTTCAACGGCGCTCAATCATTAATAAATCTTAATCGATCACAGTATTTCTGACGACTATACCCTCTATATTCGAGGGCATTTACGAACAACCGGTTGGCATAGCCGGCTTACACTATATCGCACTTGGGGTTGGTCTCACGGGAGCCTCGCAACTAAACGCAGGAACCATGGACAAGATTTATGTGCACCTCAAGAATAAAAATGGAGGTGTTGGGAAACCCGAGTTTAGATTACGTGCGTGCTTCCCCCGTTCTTCCTGGTTTAGTATATGCTCATGTTGGTAACAGCTAGCATGTTCCTCGGCACGGTACTACTTCCTATAGGGTTGCTTATTACGGGATGGACCGTCGAGGCGCACGCGCCTTGGATAGCGCCAGATATTGTTAGTACTCGCAACTGAAATTATTAATTCGACTCACGCCTGGCGCATATCAAACTAGGGCATCGCGCTCGTGGGTGCGGGTGTCATTCTCAACTTTCAGTGTATTCAGACGTATATCGTCGATGGTTTCACCCTCTATGCTGCCTCTGGTGTGTGTTCACCCAACGGATCGATATTTGGTTGCTTACTCGTTTCCGTCGGTACAGCGTTGGCAGCGGTAGCTTTTCTGCGTTCGTTAGCTGGCTGCGGATTTCCTTTGTTTGCCCCTGCGATGTACTCTGCGCTAGGATATGGCAAGGGGGACACGGTACTTGCAGTGGTAGCCATCGTCATCGGTTGTCCTGCGTGAGTGTCTTTGAGTTAGATGACGTTCCCGACTGACCCCCATTTTGTTTTTAGCCCCTGGGTTTTCTGGCGGTTTGGAGAGAGGATCCGGAATGCCAGTCGTCATGCCCGGTAATGAGTTGAATGCATAGAATGACTAGCCTCTTCAGCCCACACGCTGATTTGGATGAGCAAATGCGACGACAAACGGTGGCTCGGACTGCTCTATTATAACTGGTAGAGATGCCCGTCGTATTCCACGTACATACGACACTTTACCCCATACTCATTTTATCTAGGCGCACCGCACTGCAGATTCTACAATGCTGTCGAGATTCATTATTTGTACACATGAATTGTTTAGATCAATCATTATGCTTGACGTCCAACGTTGCTGCCAGGCAATCTTGCCATGCATCTGTGTCTGCGTCCACAACCGTGGTCGTAGTGGGTAATTGAAATGAGACACAGCGCGCGTTGGGCATCTTGACGCCGGCGAGGCGAGGCGGGATGTACAATTCGCCTTGCGTCGGGGACTGTGGCCGCGCTCTGATATTATCCGCGGCGGGCAACAAGTCATCTGTGCAATCAGGGGTTCGCGCGGTGATCAAGCAACGGATTACGTATGCTGTTATGGGTAATATAGTAACTGATGAGATGAGGGTTGTGGGTTCAGTAGTCCAAACGAGGATACCCTTCTCGTGACCAGTCCAAGTCCAAGCAAAACAGTGACGAAATCTGTCCAACCATCAAGACCTCTTCAGATCTCTCGACAGGCAACCAGGTCATCCTCGTGCAATTGCACACACGCCTGTGGAGAAATGCTTCAATAAAGTTTTATACAACACTGGAATCTACAAGGCAGCAACATCAATACCATGCAATGCACCACAGCGACGTAAAAGCAGAACGTCAGAATGAGAAATGATCCAATCATGCAATCATGATCACCCTGAAGTAGCGCCCTCTCAAGCGACTGTATCGTATGGCTACGTCGGGCATCGTCCGAAGTAACAAGGTGAACACCATGCTCACTGTCCACAGCGTCGGGAGCTCAGCCTTCATCGGGAGAATCAGTCATATGAACACTCCTCTTCATGAGAAGAGTCACAACCAAAAGGGAAAAGAGCCATCCACTC